ACTCTTTAAATTTTATATTTTATAGACAAATTTAATTTTTATGCGTTTATTTTACCTATATATATATTTGTTTTTATCATAAATTAATTTAAAAATTTTAGGAAAACAAAGAAGGAAAACGGCAGAAAAATCCCACGGAATGGGGCCGCGGGAAAATTTTCCCTGTTTGCATGGGCCTTACGCGCCACGCAGGGGACCAACAAGGGTGCACGTCCCTTTCGCGCGAGGCATGAGGCGCACAGTCTGTGTGCGTCACATTGCGCGCAGACAGGCGGGCGGCTCCACGCGCACTATGCAGGTGCCTACGCACGCGACAGGCTTGGGATGTGCACAATGCTTTGGGGCAGTGTGTGCTGCCCTTGGGCGGTGTGCACTGACCCTTTAGGGGTGTGCGCTGCCGTTCAGATGGTGTGCCGCCACTATTTAGGCGGTGTGCCTTCAATTTTTGCACCACCGTCATGTTGCCATCGTCGTGTCAACCGTCCATTAGTTACACCCGTCAATCGTCACATCACGTTATGTTAGTTTTTCCCTCTCTCTCTCCTCACAGGGTTTAACTACTTGACGAAAATCTAATGGTCCTCATTTTCTATAAATAGGGATCCTTTTCTACCATTTCTTTACCACTCCAACTTCATTCTTCCATCCACCAAAAAAATTCTAGAGAGAGAGAGCTAGAGTGTAACGGCCCCGGAAATATTAAAAAGAAATGAGTATTTAAATATATCGAATGCGGAAGCGAGATCAAAATTTCAGTTAACATCCCTTACACGAAAAACCAAAAAACGTACTTAAAATATAAAAGGTTAAACTAACTAAGAAAGAAAACTCGAAAATAAACTATGCGTATGACTACAGAGTCTCTAGGCATCCCCTTCGTCGTCCTCCTGTGGAACGGGCTCGGGAACCATGTCTTCCTGATCTGAAATGGTTAATTAAGGAGTGAGCTACACTAGCCCAGTAAGAACATCACGATATCTCACCGTCACGGAGATAAAGGTGGGTAGAAAACCACAAAAAGACCAATGGAGCATAATTTACAATAAACTCGTTTATTAACATGAAAACCTTTACCATCCACTTACCTCGGTGGAATTTATGAAAACAATATAAGAAAAATAATAACATTATCACAATCATGGAATAATATAAGCTGTAAAACATAGCACTTATCACGCCTTTTGTAATTCAATCATTATACAACATATCCTTTTCTCATTTACCAGCCTACTAGTATCCATGGGGGTCCCTAGGGGTCCCGCTACCCGTTAACCTTTAACATTCATAATCAGTTTCCAGGGCCGTCCCCATACCCCGTCCGGTATGGGCGCCAAAACCATAAACCTCAATACCCCGTCCGGTATGAGGGTGAAACGGGCCGTCCCCATACCCCGTCCGGTATGGGCGCCAAAACCATAAACCTCAATACCCCGTCCGGTATGAGGGTGAAACGGGCCGTCCCCATACCCCGTCCGGTATGGGCGCCAAAACCATAAGATCTCCATGCCCCGTCCGGCATGTGAGACCACAATCCCGGTAGGGTTCCCTACGGACCCGGTCCGTCCACCATCTCCCAGGATATCTAGTCAGGCTGACCCCGTCATACAATTATCAGTCTATACAATGTTTCATTTCCCTTTTTCCTCAATAAGCATCATCAATTCACATACAAACAAGCAAACAGTAGTTCATGCCAAACAGACAACATACAGTATTGGTTTTTCAGTCATTCAACCCCTGATTAATAAAACAGTAATATATGCACTCGAAACTATAAAATGAACACATCAAACCTCATAATGCATTTAAAGCTGTAAAACAAGCCAAATAACAGTAAATCATAAATCACACTAGACTTGGGCTCCATTAGCAACCTTAAGCAATTTCACACATGCGTTAATTCAAGAAATACCGTTTTATCATTTTGAACTTTAATACCGTGATAGGAAATAAGGTGAGGGGTCCTTACTTGTTTTCGGGATCCGAATACGATTCACAGTGCGCCTGCAGGCTGTCCCTAATTTTCCCTGAATTTTTCCCGGGGAACTGAAACACACTAACAGTACCTGCACGTGTTCCAAAAAAAAATCCAAATTAGGCCCAGGGCCTCTTTCGGCCCAAATCGCAACTCCGGCACGGCGGCTCCGCCGTGCTCCGGCGACGGCGCCGCCGCTGGCGGCGGCGAGTCGCCTCGGGTTGACTGTTTTCGGCCGTTTTTGGCCGAATTCGGCCACACTCGCATTGGTCCTTGTCAGAAAACAACCCTAGGGCCCTCGGGGGGCCAAAAAATCACAGAAAAGCGGAGCTTACCGGCGGCGGCGCTCTCGGGTACGGCGACTCTCCGGCGAGGTTCGTGTTTTGGTGATTTGGCTTCGGTCAACCTGTAGAGAAAAGAATGGTGATCACGGTGATATAAAAATTGCATCGAACAGAGGCCGGGAAGGGCCTCGTCGGAGGCAAAAACCGAGAGGGGGCGCGGCGGCACCGCTGGGCTTCGGCCGCGTATTCCGGCCGTTTGGCCGGGATTTCAGCTTCGATTTGGCCATAGGAGGAATCAGTGGAGAAAAACGAGTCGGGGGTATGAAATTTACCTCGATCGGCGGTCGGAAATTTCCCCGGTGCGGCGGCGAGTGGCGGCGGGTGGCGGCGGTCGGCCTCTGGTTCGTCTTCTCCGGCGAGCGGCTGGCGGCTAGGGTTTGTGGTCTGGTGTGGGGGTTCTATTTATAACCCCTTGCCTTTTGATCACAGCCGTTCATTTCGTTTGAATCTGGGCCGTCCGATCGCGCGATTGATCTGGGCCGTTGGATCGCACCCACGCGGATCGCCAACGTGGCTCCTTTTGGAGTGACGCGATCTTGCCACGTGGCAGGCCCCGGTTGGCCGGAACTGCTGACCGGGCCTGCTGACGTGGCTGCTGACGTGGCCCCCCCCTCTTTTTTTTCTTTTTTTTTTTTTTTTTTTTTTTTCCTCCTCCTTTCCGGGCGCTACAATATATCCAAACTTTATATGGCCAATGGATTGATAAACAATTCAGTGATAGCATTTTCTGTAGCTTTTCCATTTATTGTAAATGCATCTTCTACTTTGTAAAGCTCATCCACCACTCTCGCACAATCAAGTACAAATGTGAGGAGAGACATTGGTACGGCTGTTGGCATGAGGAGCTCTTCATTCATATCTTTCCATTTGTCCTCAATTTGCTTCTTTAATGCAACGTAAGCCTCTTCGACAGTCACACCATATTGGTTCATGTAGCACTCAACATTTGAAGCAACATGTCCCCTCTCTTGTTCAGCCTATATAATAAAAACACAAATGTAAGATAATGAAGGTGAATTATTTTTTTTCTTGAGTTAATAGAAAATGATCGAGTTAATTTGTTGTTTATATACGAACATCTCCATCACATATAACAAATATTTTTAAAAGTTGAGCAAATAAGAAGGCACAAAAGTAACATGGACTAAATAGATGTTGATGGGTGTTGTACGAATTAAAACCTAATAATAGATTTAAAAATTTTTAAGCAAGTAATAGAAGAGAAGATGAGATTTCCAAGACTTAAATACATGATCTCTAACTTGAATATAATGTTAAAAAATTGACTAAACCAATTTTCACAAAAGCTTAACACCATAGGCCAAATAATTCATCTATCATTTTCATATATATAGTAATTAATATTGACAAGCATCCTTAATTAATGTAATAGGTAGTCAATTAAAGATTGAGAGTCACCTTATGAGAAACAATATCTCCCATGAATCGGCAAATAAGTGTTGATGCTATCACAATTTTCGGTTTGCTTGCCACCCAGTCAAGCATGTTTTTTGTTACAGTGTCTTCCATAACCACAAAACCAATTGTCAAAAACATGTGATAGGCAGTTGAATCGATTGTAACTGACATGTACTCTTCAATTGGTGGTATGTAATTGTCGTTGAACCATTTGACTTCAGCAAAGTAGGCTTCAATTTGTTTCTGAATCTATATTTAACCACCAAAAACACACACACACACACACACACACACACACACATATATCAACCTTTATATATGTCTATGTAAATAAGCTAAAAACATCCAATTATATATATACTATAAAAAGTGGTGTCACATACCTTTTCTTTTACATATTGAATTCGATAAATGGTTCCTCTTTCGATCATCTCTTTTTTAATTTCCTCATAAAATTCAAAAATTATTGTATAGCATAGTTTCATATAGTCTGGGAGATTATTTATGGTTTTCATGTCCCACCTAGTAGATAAATAATATACAATTGTAAGTAATCTGACATTGCCAATGATCATTGTAAAATCTACTTTTAGATAATATAATAAGTGCTTTTACAAACCTTTCAATTGCATCCGTAAAAAGTTGAAGCTCTTCAAATGTGCCATATGCATCGTACATATCATCAATTATTACTGTGATAAAAAGTAATTTAGTTATTATTATTCTTAGAGAAGATAATCGAGGTTCCGAAAATCCTCCTAATACCCAAAGGTAACTTTCCACCACTCGATCTCGCACAAATGGTAGTTTACTTGTAATATCCATGTTCTTCCAATACCTGTATATAGATATAGAAAGAAAGAACATTTAAAAAATGGTATTCATTCCTAAGAATTTGGATGAGAAATTCATGAGGTATAATTAGCTTACTTGGAGATCTCACTGAGCTCTTTCTTGTAGAGAGATTGCAAGTAGTTGAAATCCAATTTAGCAAACTCTAGGAGCGTTTTGTTATGTGAAGTATCTTTTTGGTAAATAAAAATGTATCTTTTAGCTTCTAGCCTTGGTAAGGCCCTGCGAATCGGTCGGTCTAAGGCCTTGGCTACTTGTGTTGCAAGAAGACTGTCTGAAGTTGTAAAGGACTTAAGATACGTGGTTGCAAAGGTGCACGCTTCCTCTAGTACATCTTCTCCATGTACTCGCAAATACGAAGCTTCATAAAGCTCTAATATATCTTTAACGTTGTTACTTAAAGATTCTTTGAAGTTTCCGTTGCTATTCTTAAACTTATTGAATATTCCTGTTCATTATGATCAATTATTTAAAAACTTAATCAAATAAAAAATTATCTAATTTAGTATTTATAATCTAATAATTATGTATTGTATTCATACTCTTTATTTACAAAATAAACTTATATTAAATTAGATGAATATAAACTATATATGCAAAAAGAGAATTATGATCTAGATATTATATGATTAAATTAAATAAAATCACGAGAACATACCTGAAGAAACTTTGTAACCTTGTTGCCTGAGTAATCGAAATCGGAGAGAAACAATATAAAGGTCATCACTATCGTTAATGGCATCAAGATCAAGGTGAGTCTCATAGATCTCTTTCAAGATTTCATTAATCTCGCTTTCAAAATGGCAAGCCACGCCCAACTGTTGAATGGTATCAATCAAAACGAGTTTCTCTCGCACAGGCTTGTCAACCACAAGAATTAGCATTTGCTTTACTTCTTCCTTCAGGTTGTCATATCTTCTTCTATCATCATCCTTATTATAGCGAAAACAAGATGTATGATAAACAGTTAAGCATGCATGATTTATATGATAGGATATGAAAAATTAGATACACAAAATAGTAAATACATAATTATTAAATCAAAAACTATCTATTACACGCTATGCGTGCATGTATAATAAGTGTATTAACTATCATATATATAAATATATACTGTAGAGATCTTTCATGTGAGAAAAGATGATACTTTACTGATTACCAGAAGTAAGATGGAATCACATGAGAGAAACCTATCTCCCCAAACACTGGGTTTGAAATTTCCCAAGTGGCGATCTATGTCGTGTTTGGTGGTTTGGGTTGGGGCTAAATCTGCTTCTGAAACTTTAATGGAAGACATTTTATTGAGTTGATTTTCTTTTTTCCAATAAAGCAAGAGAGCTTGTTGATTTCTAAATTGTAATGGATGGGTACTTATAGAGAGTTTAATCATTCTTTGTGATTAAAAAAATTACTATATAAATTGTGCAATTTTTAAGTTAATTGTTCAAGC